AACAGAGTAGTAACGATCTGAAGAGATACATCCATCAAAAGATCGCAAGGCGGCAAAGAAGACATGGTAAAATGAAATTTGAGTAAAAATAATTAGCGTAGCTATTTATAGCTCTGGATTAAGAAGCGTACCCTGGCTTTTCGCTGATTTTCAAAGCCCAAAAGCTGAAAGCAGTTGGAGAGATATTTCCTGGAAATTAAGTACAGAGTTGCACAAGTAACGAAGAGGATGCGAAAGAGAGATGGGTGTAGGTGGGACAAGGAGACATGGATGGCTGCCACTTTTTGAGAGAAAATTAGGTTTGTAGGGTCTGTGAAAAAGACCGGTGTAATGTGCCACTGAAAAAGGGTTAAAGTAACATATCCATTACGCATCTGCGGCTTTACCTGGTTAAGGTGCATCAAATTCTCGATAAATGTAGAGTTTTATCTTCTATGATAATAACTAAATGTAGAGTTTTATCTGCTATGATAATAATTACATTTTATTCAGACTGTAAATCAGCTATTACTATTAAAAAAAATTAAACAGGCACACTGGACATCCTCATATTCATATCTCAGCTCTAATTTTTATTTTTTTATCCTGGAAAGAAGCGAAGATGCTTGCTTCTTCCTTCATATTTTTTTTTTTATAAGGGATAATAAATATTTTTTTATAATTAATTTTTATTAAAAATATAAATATTGATTTTAATTTACTTAATTAATTAATTAAAATTATTTATGTATCAATAATATTAAAATATATATTAATTTTTATAATTTTTAATGTAAATTAATTATAAAAAAATATATTTATTATTTTTTTAATATATATCCGTAAAACACATATTAAATAATAAATTTTTTTTTTATTTTCTTATTTTCACTTTTGCTTCTTTATCTACTAAGTACTTTCTTGGATTCTCACTTAGGGAATCTTGGGTTAGAACGCTAGTCTATCATAAAAGTTTGGGCAGTGCCTGGGACAGTTCGCCACTGGCACGCTGCAAGAAACACTCGCTTAATGGGTTTTTCACGCCACTGCTATTTTAAATGAGTTATCGTAAACTTAAAACGGTCGGTTTCTTCATTTCATTTTAGAATTGCACAATCATCTGACGTTATTTGCACTTGTTATTTAGAATCCTTCCAGAGAAAGTAATTCTATGAGCGAGCTTAGTCTAAAATAAAGGTAAAAATCTATTTTTGAACTCTATCTTATTAAATTTTAAGATTTTAATTTTTTATTTTATATTTTGATATTTTTAATTTTTTATTTTATTAAATTTGTAAGTTTTAATTTTTTTATTTATATTATAATACTTTTAACCCTCA